TAGGACAGTGGCGTCATTTTCTACAGGGATGCAGGCTTATTATTCAGACTGACCACAGTTCCCTGCGACATCTGCCCAACCAACCCAGTGTCCACCATCGTATTTGGAAATGGGTTGGCATTCTACAAAGTTATGATGTTGACATCAGGCATATTCCAGGCCGGAAGAACCTAGCAGACGCCCTTACATAATAGAGGTGGACGATGATCAAAAGCTGAGTAGCGGAGCAAAGGAGGAGGACAACAATCTGGCAAGGATCTTATAGTTAGTTGAGAACCCCTCAGATCAAGATATCCAAGTTCCATTGGATCAGTTGTTTGTTGAGAGGAAGGAAATCAGTTTATCCATAGTATTGTCATCAGTGGAGAGCAATAATGGAACTTTTGTACCGTTGGCACAATGTTTGGTCACCAGGACCCCTCTGGACATTGAGTGTCGACTCCGAGACATGATGATGGAATTGTTGGAACAGGAAACCCCATACTCGGAGATTTTACAAGAAATTGATGAAGCACCGCTCTAGCGCAGCAAAGGAGGAGGACAACAATCTGGCAAGGATCTTATAGTTAGTTGAGAACCTCTCAGATCAAGATATCCAAGTTCCATTGGATCAGTTGTTTGTTGAGAGGAAGGAAATCAGTTTATCCATAGTATTGTCATCAGTGGAGAGCAATAATGTTGCGGCCCGTCGGCAGCCGCTGGTTTCCGGAGGCTATGGGGTCGCCCTGCCATGCAGCACAGCCGTTGGAGGTCGGCTGGCCTCTCCACCTTGGACGGTGGGCGTTTCCGGGGCAGACGTTTCGGCGGTCGCGCGGTGGGCCCAATGCTCGACGGGGATCGATTCCCGGGGCCTGCTGTCGGCGAGAGGTGGCGGCGCAGCGGTTAGGCGGTTCGCTGGCTCGCGGGAGGCCAGAGAGTGGGCCAAAGGTGTTACAACAATTCACTGCATGCGCGCGCACATATCGCATGCGCGATGCCCGATCGCGGGTCCATCGCGGTACATCAAGACAAGACAAGTCATGTGCGCGTCCAGGCACCAAATCACCATCCACCGTTCACCTACGATCGACCCATTGTCCTCTAATTCCAATCGTCTAACACCCGACCCCCTGTCCCAAAGTACTATGACTTCAGGAGGCCATAACTTCGTCAATTCTTAACGGATTTGGGCGTTTAAAAGCGCGTTGGAACCAGGAAGCTCTAAATAACACTCACAAAAGGTTGATATCCCAGATTACGTTATTATCACTCCAGAAAACGTTAATTACTGCCTAACCCCAAGCAGCCACGTCACAAATAATGGAACTCCTGTACCGTTGGCACGATGTTTGGTCACCAGGACCACTCTGGACATTGAGTGTCGACTCCGAGACATGATGATGAAATTGTTGGAACAGGAAACCCCATACTCGGAGATTTTACAAGAAATTGATGAAGCACCGCTCACTAATCTAAAGGTGAGCCGAGGTCAGGAGAAGTATAGGGTGAAGCACCGCTCATTAATTGTCCATCGCAGTGACTTCAGTGATGAAGACCAATATTGGAAAATTGTGGTATCAGACCACCAAGAGGTGAAGAAGTTGCTACTCCAGGAACTCCATAATGTTCCCTATGCTGGACACCCAGGGTATTTAAGGACATTGCACACTGCCGAGAGAGGTTCATATTAGAGAGGAATGGCAGGTGATATGAGGGAGTATGTCCTATCATGTCCAGTTTATAAATTGGAGAAGTCTGAGCACCAACGTCCACGTGGCGAGTTACAACCGTTGAGAGTACCTGAGCAAGAGTGGACAGAGGTGACTTTGGACTTCATTACAAAGCTGCCAACGACTCAATGTGGTAATGATGCTGTGCTTATAGTGGTTGACAGGGCCACAAAGATGGTACATTTTGTACCCTGCAAGGAAGAAATTTCAGCATCTGAGACCGCATTTTTATATTGGCAACATGTGGGAAAACTTCATGGATTGCCCAAGGGACTGTACTCTGATTGTGATCGCAGATTTACTAGTGCCTTTTGGCGAAGTTTTTGGATATTGGTTGGTTGTGACTTGAGATTCAGCAGTGCCTACCACCTGCAGACTCAGGGGTTGGTAGAAGGAATGAACGCAATCTTTGAACAAACTCTGCGTTGCATTGTGTATGAATTGGGAGAGCCTTGTGATTGGGATTCATCGGTACCCATCATTGAATTCAGTATGAACAGCCAGCCAAATAGGAGCACGGGGTATACGCCTTTCTTTCTGAATTATGGGTACCACCCAGTGACTCCTAATGAGCTGATCAGAGGGACTGATAGTTCTCTTGTTGAGACAGTGACTAGCTTTGCTCAGCGCCTGCATCGGACTTTCACTAAGGAGCGGAACAATCTCCACTGACTGCAGGCAAACGAGCAACACAAGAAATACTATGATCGTCGTCACCGCCCTGAGACCTACGCAATGGATTAGCTTGCTCTGCTATCCACTACAAACCTTCAGATGCGTGGAACACCGGCAAAGCTGCGAAGACGCTTTGTGGGACCCTTCCATGTCATCGAACGGACTGGTGCCCAATCTTACTGATTGCAACTCCCCGATGACTGGCATATCCATGATGTGTTTCATGTGAGTCTACTCAAGGCATGGCATGATAGTGATTGGGATCAACATGAGCAGACTCCTGTTCTGGAAATTGAGATGACGGATGACGAGTGCGAAATAGAAAAGTTGCTCCGGTGGCAATATGTTCGAATAGGAAATAGGAGGACTCTTGAGTTTCTTATCTTGTGGCTTGGCTGGCCGATTGAGGACGCCACTTGGGTACCAGAGACGAAAATTAAACCTCCCGAGAATGTACCAATGATGATTGAGAGGGACCAGTCAATAGAGGACACGGGTGGATTGAGTGGTGGTTCATGATTTGATTTTTGGGACAAAAATACTCAAAGGGGGAGTGATTATCAGATTGTAAACAGTTAGAACATTTATTATTGGATATGAAGTGTATGGGTATGATGACAGTACACTAAGGCACCGGTGTGGGTGTCATAGCCCGGATTGATTCCGCACCGGTGGCCCGCGAGTTGGTCACCGTATTTATGTGGTGAGTATGTTGTAGTAATGACCCTTTCTCGCGGAAGCAAACTGCTCCCGCAACCCGAACTTGCAACCTTGGCTGACCTGGCTGGTCAAGCCCGCGAGCTCGCCTGCCCCCGAGCATACCGCCATGAGCGCCGTGCCCAGCACGTGCAGTTTGATGATCCAGACCCGACGGAGGCGGAGCATCGAGCAGCTAACCACCACGCGCATCAAAGGCCCCCTCGCGACGGCAGGGGCCCGAAGGGAAGCCGACAACACAGGGTGGGTTGGCGGACTTCCAGGGCACAACGGCTGGGTCTCGAACTGGGACTTAGATGTTGTGGCCTAAGGGTGCAAGCGTAAGTAGGCTACTGAGCGGGTTGTATCGTGGGATGTAGAGATATGGCAGGTGGAGCTCCACAGGCCACATTTAGCGGGATGCCATCTTTGCCTTACCAGTCTCCTCTTCCCTCCCCCCCCCTTCCCCCCCAACAAGATATTACACTCACATATTGGTGTCCATCACCTCACTAATACAAAACCCGATTGGTGACCCACTTGAAATGTGCCCTCACTTTGCGTAGTAATTAATGCCACATTGATGGTGACTCAACCCTGAGTTAGACCCCTTTTCCTCGTACTCAGCTCCCTCTTCATCCCACAACTAACCGAAACTCACTCTATTAGGGTGGGCTGGATGGGTGCGAAACAAAATAAAGGGGGCGCCAAGCGTCACGCCCCAAATAACCGTTCCCGCTTGCTGCCAAGCTTCCCGCCAAACCCAACGGCCAGATTGACCGGTCCCCTTGTCTACTCCCCCAAGTTACAAGGATCACCCGGTTGCCCCTTGGATCCGGCGGTAAGAACTGACCCCGGGTACAGGGGTGACAGAAACCGCGTTTGATGGCCCTGAAACGGTCTAGAAAGGCAGCCCGGCCCAGCACGGCCAGCGCGCCCCCACCCAACGCCGTCCTTGGCAGAAACTCATTAACAAGATAATTACATTTATGTTGCGCACGCGTGGACTATTTTCGCAGTTAGGCGCATATGTTTAGGGCAGGTCTGCAACGCTGTATTGATTCCTTGACACTGTCAGGCCAGGCACAAGGAAGCTTCCCACAATTCCTCAAGGCTCGCACAGTACTGTCGGCACCAGCCTATGGCCATTTTGACAATGCGACAGGATAGTCACGCCACGGGTGAGGGAATTGGCGCTGGGGACATGCCAACAGGTGACATTCTGTGCGGCAAAGAACATGCTGTGTATTCTTTCTTTTCCGCACGTGTAGCCACACAGACGCTTTTTTTTTTTTGCATGAGCAGAACTGCTGCTCAGATCATTGGCCTGCGGCACCTCTTGAGTTGCAGGATTTCGTTTGGAGGTCTTCACTGTACGGCCTGTCAGTTGCCACCGGACGTGATAACACACATCCGCAAATCCAGTCGCGTCTGGAAACTGGAAAGAGAATGAGCATCCATCCCTGCTGTCGATTCCCCCCAAGAGTGAAGCGTGGCCGAACGGCCAATCGACGCACCGGCGAACATGACGTGCAGTCCGTTGGCCAGAATGTTGAAGGGCACAGACTGGGCAGCCGGCGACAGATGTTCGACAAAGATTGGCAGCAGCAATTGTAGATCGGTGCCCCACAATTGTCGGATCGACAACTTTCAACGGACGATCGGCACAAGGAACGACTGTAGACTGCTGCAAAGAAACAAGGTAATGGGCAGGGATGCGAACTGGCATGGATTTTCGCGAAGAGCACTTTCGTGCAACAACACATGGCCCAGTTCCTCTCTGGTTGCATACCGACGTCCCCAGTTCACATCAATGCCAGAACTGCAACAAAGCTGTACATGCCCCAAACAGACCACATTAAGCGCTACATACCAATACAGCTACCGAGTCACAGCTGCATCAGAGACACAGATTTGAATCTATTCTCCATTTAGGATTCCCTGCACCTCTCTCATAGTCGGTCTTGCATCAGGATTGGGCAACAGGCACCTTTGGATCAAGAGCCTGAGGTCCTGCGGACAAGCGTTGGGAATCGCACAGGGCAGTCTGCCATCCGCTTTTGCTTTCAGTCCTGGATAGCCCTTGTAACCGTAAGGCTCACACCCAGCTACGACCTCAACCATCACAGTTCCAAAGCTGAAGACGTCGCTCTCAGGGCTGCTGCGCTTGCCATCAAACAGTTCAGGTGCTTGGTACAGAAAGGTTCCTGGCTGCTCCCTCTGAGTCCTTCTTCTCCACCTTGTGCTCTGCTTCGTGGCCACACCAAGGTCACACAACTTGATGATGAGGCATGCTTCCTCGCTGCCAGGGAAGACAAGGATGTTCTGTGGCTTAATGTCACGGTGAACAACGCCTTGGCTGTGCAAGTGGCACACGGCTTCCGCTGCCTGAAACAGCACGCTGCGCTTCAGTGGCCAGGCCTCAAGGTGCTGCCGCTTGTACCAGGTCTCCAGGTTTTCCTTTGCCAGTTCCATGACCAGAAAGGGCCTGTCGACGATCCCGCTGTTTTCAACGACACTGCTCATGGCCAGCATACGCACAATGTGAGGATGACCGAACTTTGCATTGAGAGCAATTTCCGCAAAGAATTCTGCAAACCTGCCATGCCTGCCGTTTGGATGCTCTGAATCGTTCATCACCTTCAGAGCCACTTCTCTGCCCATCCAACTGGTACTATACACTGTACTTCGACCACCATCGGCAATCACCAGTTTCGTCTTCCAGTTGACATCACCCCTATTAATCCGTTGCACACACTGGACTTGCTTCTCAAGCCTTGACCTCACGGCCGCCCATTCTTCCAGGAAACGGTCGCCTTTAACACTGTCATGATCCAAAACCCCAACCACAAAACCAAGGCGTTGCTCCAAAAAGTTCCTATCCTCTTCTACAATGCAGTCAGGAACACTTTTCTGCATATCACCCGCACTGTGTCTCTTTAACTGGTCAGCCGACTTGAGAATGTCCCTGCAGTGATTGTTTACCAAATACACCGTTTCATCAACTGTGTAGTACTCCCACAGGTCAAATTCTCTGGTGTGTCGCAACACGAGCTCCCTTCCACCCTTGATCGCCTTGACCAGGTTGTTCCAGGCTGTGAACATGCTTGCGGTGTTTGGAAACTCCTGCACGCTCTTCGCCTCAGTCATGCATGCATGCAGGAAAGCCAATGTCTTCACGTTGTATCTGATCTCTGGCAGCATTTTGCCCACTTCGTCGCTGATCGCCCACAGTTTCTGCACTGAATCCACCTGGACAGTGAATGACCCACTTCAGCAAAAAGGGTCCAATGCACATTTGGAGTTTGCACAATGTCACTCTACAGCAACATCTTCTCGCCTCGAGCAGTCTTCTAAGGGGAAGAACTGCCCAAACACCAGTTGAGGGCAATATGGTGAAACAAGCACAGCAAAGTACAGCTCCTTCTACCATTTGCCCCCCAAAACGTTCTGTAACTAGATTGCACATTTCCCCACACCATCGCAGTTCCTCCATGACAGTCAAGATGTCAAATTCCCTTGTCATTGCTGGAGCTTCATTCCAGCTGCCAAACATCCCCCTGTAGTCCTAAAGGCAACAGCCAAATGTTTCCAGATTCCAGGCAGTGCCCAGGCAACAACCTGCAATTGCAAACAAGATAATGCGCTAATGTATACGGATTGCAGATGCAGGCCTAAACCGATGTTGAGAGCTAGGAACAATTGTTTCCGGCAGCTGTGCTGTTGGTGCAGAACACCAGTCACACTGTTTCACATAGTGCTATCAGTGGCAAATTCGCCCAAGTTTGGTTATTTTTAATACTTAAACAACTTTTTTGTCCAATGCCACAGCTTTTTTACTACTTGCCCAACTTTATCTGGCAGAACTCAATGCAGACAGCACCAGATATGTTCACCCATCCTCCTCTGGTCCCACCTTTCTAACTTCCGCATAGCATCCGTATGGTGCACGTCCATAACTACACATATCCACGAATCTCGTGCATTCAATTCCTTACCACAAGGAAATTCCGCATCTTGGCCAATCCAAAGACATGAACAAAAAGCAATCCCTGCTAAGAGGAGCATTGAGCAAAGCATACCTTCTCTACTCAGGGTATGGCTCAGTTTGTGGAGAACGTCCCAATCCAGGATATGGCACTATAAGGAGCCAAGGAGCGCCTGTAACACACCTGAGGGTCGTCCAGGTTCACCAACTTGGTCAGCCGCTGTTGCACTTCTTCCATCGATGATGGCCTGTCAGCAGGGTCGACGGCACAGCACTCTGCCATCAAGGTCAGGAGCTGCGCAGGACAACTGGCAGTAGGAATGTCAAACGGGGGCTCGCCATTTCTCTTCATCAACATCACTTTTGCATCTGTGGCACCCCTGCCATAGGGCAAGGTCTCCCCTATCATTTCGTACATCACGATGCCGAAACTGTATATGTCGCTCTTCATGTCACATGGCTTCTCCTCGAAGATTTCAGGGGCAGCAAATGTGTTCTTGCCATGCTTCCTCACAGTGTTCTTCCCTGTGATGTTGCCAGTGGATGCCTTGCCGAACCCCACCAGCTTCACCTCGGGCTGGCCACCACCAAACACAACAAATTTCTTGGTGCGGATGTCACGGTGCACAAGCCCTGCATAGTGGACATCATTCAGGCTTTGTGCCGCATCACATAGCAGTCTGAGCTTCAACTTCAGACCCCCTGGCCTGTGCTGCCAGAACCAGGTCATGATGTCCATCTCCCCTTTTTCCATCACAAGCTTTCCTGAACGAGTCACAGCAAACAGGCGGACAACGGATGGCGAACGTACAAGCTCCATCACTGCTGCCTCGGTGTAGAACCTTGCGAATCCAACATTGTCCATTCGATTGCCACTCTTCACTGCATGTTCCCTGCCCCTGTAGGTCGCCACATACACGGAGCCAGAAATATGCTGCTGTGGTGGCCCGATATCCTCGTCTGGAACGATCTGCAGACTCCTCAACTGCACTTCATGCTCTTGTTTCGCCTGCTTCCACTCTTCCTGAATATCAGCAGGCAGACCGTTGAAAATGAAATCCCCTCCTTCCATCCCCAGAATGTAGCCAAGATACGTATCCAGGGTCTTCTCATCCTCCTCCACTGCCTCCTGTGGCACCCTGTCAACTATCTCCACACCCTCCACATTCCACCATTCCACACACGCCTTCAGAATTTTGCAGATCGCCTGTGCACCCTCCCTTGCCTCAGCGGCAGTGTAGAACTTCTGCATGTCAAACGCCTTGGCATGTCGAAAAATCAGTGTTCTTCCAAGGTTCAATGCATGGTCACATGCCTTGATGTAGGAGACAGCATTCGCCTCAACTTCTGGTCTGTAGTCGATTTTCAGCACCATGGCCTCTGTCATCTGCCTTTGTAGGAACTCCATGCAGTTCCGATTGTACCTAAAGTACAGCTGTCTGGCAGAAAGAATGAAGTCATGCTGTGAAACATGCCATGACTGTTTGAGAATGGAAAGAACACAATGTTAAGAGGGATATCATTCCTACAATATCACATTGGCGGCCAATCCAGCAACCTGTAAAGGAATGCACATCCTCCAAATCTTGCCATGCATCACTGTGAATCATGAGTAGGCTTCGTTGCACTACTCATGTGTTTGTATCAGCAACAGAACATCCTCTGGAATCATCAACAACACAAGATCTTGGAAGAGAACAAAGACAGACTACAACCCCCGTGGAGCAAGGAACAAGACATTAATGGTGTTGCTAATTACCCAGTGGCAATGCTAAATTGTGAGTGCCACGGCTCAGTAGAAGACTGGGCAATCAGCAGTTCTTAGCTCATGCTCTGCCCTGCAGGGGGACTAAATGGGCTGAGTATGAGTGAAGGGTCTGAAGGTACCCACCTTGGGCTCTTCTGGCATATCTTGATCACCCTTTTCCTGAAACAGCACAAAGTATGTGTTCGACTGACCAAACGATCAACCAGGGCTATCAACCATCCTTCACTGGCAAACATGGCTGATTAGTAAGTTTTCTTCTGGCAGCTGTACAGCACAGAAAATGAACCTTGTCATGAACTTTCCCACAAATGCTTGAGAATATAATACAGACAACATTCTGAGAGGTAACATTGTTCCTGTATTTCACATGGCTAGCGCCCAATCTGCCGAACGATGAGTTGCCTGGCGTTCAGCCCAAGGCGATGCAGTCAGGCGGCACTTTTGGGCCAGGGCAGGAATGGCCTGTACTATTTTAATTCCTGGACTACAGCTACCGGATCGATGTGATCCCACAAAGGCATCTATTGCCCTGTTAGAGTGAAACTTGAACAGTGTCCTCTGAGTTCTACAAGGCCTTGCTTAGCAAGATTGGGCATGCTTACAGCCAATATTTGTACCAAAAGTTGGTGACAAAGCCACAAGCAACAAGCCTTCAGGAAGTAGAAAGCGGGAAGGGGGGGACATGTTCATAGTCTGTTTCCTTTACAATAGCAACAGTGTTTATTCTGCCAAATACTGGACCAGAGCAAATCGCCTGTCAGGGACATGATACCAAGAATCCAGTGTCAACCATGGCCAATGGTGTGCTCAATCAAAAGCTCTCACCTTAGGTGACATAGCATCGATGCCTTGGTCTGCATCGCCTGTACTCACATCTTGTAACACTGGGGTTGACACAGAGAGGGGATTTTCCTCTTCCATGGAAGTGAACATCGATTTCAGGCCATTCTACATCACACAAATCCTTGAGAAAGTCCCAGCTTGAAAGTGTGACGACATGGCTGCAGAAGCACAATGTTGGTGTCCTATCAGGCTGATGACAGACTGCTCGTCCTCCAAATCTTGGCACAGGTTGTCAGTGTGGCCATGCACACCGCAAATCTGTGCCAAGCTGCTCATGTGCCCATCAACCAACTCAATAAGCTCTAGAACTCACATCATTGAAACCAAGTACAGCACAGGAGAAATAGACAACTGAAAATGTATGTCTGGGACAGAGCATTGGCCACCATGGAATCTGTCAGCATCCAATGACAGTTCAGTTTCTAAAAGAGTACAAAACATGCACATGTGCTGACTTTCGATCACCTTGATTGCCAATCACCATTGAGCATAGGCTTGCACTTTGCTGCAGATAAGGCACCTTGTCAACAATACTGCCAAGCTCGTTGTTCTCAGTGTGTCAGCCAGTTAGGCCCCACATATGGGTTTGACCTTAAATTGGTCCACCACCAGGAAATCGCCAGGCAAGGTGCCTCACAAAGAATGATATGCACAGATGAAAGGCACTCAACATAGCTTTGTACATGTAAGTGCAGCAAATTGTCAGCATTGGAAAGTGCTGTCAAAACAGACTTTGCGATGGAGAAGGTTCAGATGCAGGGGCACTGAACAGAGCAACTTGAGCAACATACCTGAAGGCCCGCCAGGTTAGGAATCTTCCTGGACAATTCCTGAGCACATACAAGGACACTTGTAACCACATACAGTACAGGCAGCAATACACATGATGCGCAGCCAAGGTTTCCAACCATCAGGCGATGTTGGGCGATGGGTGTTATCCAAAGTGACCTCTAATGCTCCCAACAGAGCTGCTCCCATGTGCTTCAAAAATGATGCAAGATCACAGCAATTGCAGCAAAACTTGTGGGTATCAAAACTGCATAGTTACACTTTTGCTGATGACTATTTTGTCACACTAGCCCCATATGATGGTTTCCAATATCACCAACGGTAGTCCAAACGACTTCAGCTGCATTGCTTGAGCTTTTTAGGAACAATACAGGGAAATCATGCAATACTGCAAAACAAAATACTTGTGGGATTCTGTGTTTGTGGGGGAAGCAGGAAGGTGTGTAGAGGTAAGGATGCAGGTACACCATGAGATAAGTGTGCAGGTAAACCATAAAACATTCAAAACTTACCCAATCAAATTGCTGGACAAATGCACACAGCAAATATCGAAGCTTTTGACACTACCATACCTTTGGTTTTGGCAATTCTGTTGCCCACCGTCCCATGGATGGGTCCTGCAGCATAACAAACTATGCAGTAAGAAAGATAAGTTTTTGCTGGAGGCAAGGGGGCAGCCATGGAACAACCTGTGGCACCTGGGCTACAGGAAGCTGAATTCTGCTCTGAACGCATTGTCCCACAGAATCAACAGTACCCTTGCATTTGCTTGGTGACAAGGCGCAACAGGAAATGCAGTTCTAGTGACAGTGAAATGCGCACCATTTGGGGCACAGGCATGTCGACAGCATCCAATGCTCTGTTGCCAAGAATGGGCACTGCACCAAGTCCATGCCAAGAGACGGACATATTGATGTATTCTGACTTGGCAAACAGTTGTGCTCGCATCCAGAGCTCCATAACCTCTATTGTTGTCAATGCAGTCGGTGCCATTGTATCACAATCCTATCGGGGCAATCCAGTCAACTAACTAGCAACAGCTGAAAGAGCTCCACTGCACAACTTTCCTCTCACAAAGAAGCCAAGTGCTCAAATGGTGCGCTCTGTACAGGAGCTGCACAAATGACTTCCGTTGTTTGATCAGATTTTTTTATACACAAGGCAGATGTGTTGAGCATCCATAACACATTGGCCCACTACAAACTGATCACCAACTCTGCGTGCATCATTGCCTGTGCTTGTTTTGCACTTGCCTCTAAGCGTTGCTCCAATTCGGACAGGCGTCTGCAAACATATGCCATTGTGGGTCTTTTCTGGGGTGTACGATGGCAGCACTCCCTCACGAGCTTCTGCAGGTCTGGTTCACAGTTGCTCACATCACCCCAAGGGTCGTCCCCAATTAGCTTCCTCTTCATGATGCCCTGTTCACTGCCACGGAAACTAACGAATGGCAATGTCCCTGTGGTGACTTCATACAGGACAATTCCAAAGCTGTAAACATCGGATGCGAGCGACAGTACTTCACCCTCGTACAGCTCTGGCGCCACCCACAAAGGCGTTCCTCGGGGCTTGCGGCCAATATTGCACTTGGTCGCTGTGACTTCACTTGTGAGCCCAAAGTCAGCTATTTTGACAGTGCACGTGCTTGGGTCGTTTCCAAATACCAGGAAATTGGAACTCTTCACGTCACAGTGGACCATGGGTGGATCTCTGCTGTGCAGGTGCCTCAAGCTCTCCGCTGCCTGCAGCAGGAGCCGCAGCTGCACAGGCGACTTCAGGCGATGCATTCTGCAGAAAGACTTGAGATCACTGTGTGCCAATTCCATCAACAACATACCTGACTTGGAAATGGCAAACAGTTTTGGAACATGCTCTTCACTGAGTTGCTTCTGGATGAGTGCATCTTTCAGGAGTTCTGCCCGACATTCAATGGCCAGCATCCCAGGAATATGCCTGCACTTCTTCACGGCCACTTGTTGCCCCTTCCAGTTGCCTGCATGAACAACACTGAATCCTCCTTGACCAACAAAAGCCGAATCAACAAAATCCTCATCATCTGCTTCAGGTAGATCTTTAATACGATCCAGGTGCTCAGCTCTACAGTCATGCCACTCTTGGGGTATTTCAGGATCTTCCCAAGTGCTTGCACACTTTTCCTGGAGAACAAAGCCAAGCAATTTTGCCAGCTCTTTCCTGTCCATATCAAATGCTGCCTCTGGGACTCTCCTCTCAACTTCCAGATCGACACCTGGCAGCCACTGTACTGCAAAATCCCAGAGAGGCTCGCACACAAGGTGTTCCACGAGTTCTCTTGCTTCAAAGCTCTGGTAGAACTTCTGTATGTCAACATGTGCTCTGTGCTTGTCAAGAAGTCGCTGCCCTGTCTCCACAGCCTCCCTTAACATATTCACAGCCCCTTGCGTTGCCAAAGGTGGAATGCTCAAATCCATAAACTTGGCCAACTGCTGGTCCAGGAAGCCCATTATCTTCTTGTTGTATTTTGCATCAGGCAGCTCGTTGCACTTGGCACAATGGAGAGAAACTTTAGCAACCAAACCTCAGCGCATGCAGCCACTAGGCAAAAGGCATGGTGGCTGTACATTCGCCCACTGGACAGCAGTGCAGCTGTGATGCTCTAACCTGTGAATTATGTCACTTCTAGCATCTTGAACTGTCAATCAACAACAGCTGCAGAGCTCTCAAGAGTTTATAGCTCTCAGGGCATGCACTTCAAACTGGTTGACACCATTCTATGGCCAAACATATGTCCGTTCTGTTTTGCCAAATTCCTACCAGACAGCAACTTGAACTAAATAGTTGCGGCAGATACTGCAACATCCGCCACAGTTGCCCACAACAGGAGAGCAGTTGAGAAGCAAAAGGCACCTGCAAGTATACTCTGCTGCTTGGGGCAAGAGCATGAATCGCTGATGCACAAGTGCTTTTTGGCACCAATAAAGCGTTCAATCTTTCTTATTGGCCCACTGACAGGTCTGTTCTAGCAGCAAGTACGATTAACGAAATTTTTCACAACCAACGACCAAAAAGGGTGATTGACTGCTTGATCTCAAACAGCAAATGTAGGGACAAAGGCCGCTACTGTGCAGAGTGAGCCACTTTAGTGCTTCAGGGCATATGATGTTCCACAGCATGATGTCATTGGCCAGCCAACCACTGAACCAGGTGGGAAGCTGCGATGCAACGGCCAAGGTCACTCAGAGCAAGTTATCACACTCATGAACAAGCAGCCAACCATGGATGTGACAGTATCAGTGTGCACACTGGTTTCAGGCAATCTTGCACTAAACCAGCAACAAGGTTTACAGTGCTTCCCCTCTTTCAGGGGGATCAAATTCCAGTTACTTTGTGAATGGACATGTGTCACATTATGACAGTACCAGCCCTGAGACACAACATGCATAGTGTCAAAAGCAACACACATAACATGACAGTACAGTACCACTTTGCAGGTTGAGGAATTTGCACAGGAGATGCCATGGCACCCAATTAGCCATTGCCCAGCAGTTTGCTATGGAAACGCCATTGAAGTGCAGTTCTTCACCTTTGCAGACGGCTCATAAGAGTCGTACAAGTCTTCCAAACGCTCTTCCACATCCTCCATTGATTTTGGCCTGTCTCCAGGGTTCAAGGAACAGCACTCCAACATGAGCTCCACTAGCTCCTTGGGAATGCCAGGCAAGGTACAGGGTGGCTGGCCATTCATCTTCTTATCCTTCATCTCCTCACTTGTGACATCGCCGTATGGCTGAGCTTCAGATAGCAGCTCGTACATCATAATGCCAAAACTGTAAATGTCACTTGGAAAACTGTGCGGTTTCCCTTTGAGTATTTCTGGAGCCACCCACGCCAGCTTACCACCCACTGTTGCAGCCAAGTCTCCCATGAATCCTTCAGCAGCTTCCAGGTCAAAGCTTCTTATTTTCAGTTCCAAAGGATCATTTTTGAAGACAATGAACTTCTTGGCCCTGATTTCACGGTGCACAAAATCCATACTGTGTGCTTCCTCCAGGGCCACTGCTGCCAGCCAGAGCAGCTGTAGCTTCAACTTCAGCCCCCCCCACTTGTTGCGCTTGTACCAGGCCATCATGTCACCTTCTCCTAGCTCCATCAAAACAAGGCCAGACCAGGTCATCGCGTAAGGTGTGACAATGCAGGCGCTGTTCACATATGTAGCCTTAGAGTACAATCGAGCAAACGTCACACTGTCAAGAAGGCAGCCTCCCTTGTCCTTGGCCCAAAGCTTAACTGCCACTGATCTCCTTCTCCACTTGGCTCCATGCACAGAGGCAGAAATGGCGTTGCCCAAAGATATATGATCGTCAGGGACCACAAACTGCTTCAGCCGCTTTTTGTGCTCACTCCTTGAGTGCTGCAGCTCCTCAGCTATAGTTAGAGGGATGCCATCGGAACTGCACCCCTTTTTACCCAGAATGTAGCCCAAGCACTGCTCCAGAAACTTCTTGTCCTGACAAACATCCTCCTGTGGCACTCTGCCAGCAATGTCCAAGGATTGTATTCCGCAGTCATTGGAAAAAGCAACCAGGGCATCACAGATCACCCGCACACATTGCCCCACTTCCTCGACAGAGTAGAATTTCTTAACATCAAGTGCACTGGAATGGCAAGCTACAAGTTGCATCCCCACGCCCATTGCAGCAGCAAGTGCTTCATATGACGCCCTTGTGTTTTCCCCTTGGTCTGTGACTGGAACTGCTGCCAGCACCTCAGAGAGGCCACACTCCTTGCTCTTTTCCAGCTGCTCAAAAAGAAATGTCAGGCTCTTTTGGTTGTACCTCAAATCACCCTGCAGGAAGCAAAACAGAAGAAGCCCATGAAACATAACACCACAACACAAGCAGTGATACTGTCTCAGTCCATGCAAGACACAATGCAGCTGGTCTACCAATCTGCACTGCAACGAATTCTGTTATTGTCAACCACCCTACCCGCTGTTGTCAAAGCTCAATATCAAGTTCCTGAACAGAGTGAAATGCTGTGCAGATAGGAAGGAACACCGGAGAATGAACAAAGGGGCAATTGTATACCACAACCTAAAGCACTGTGTTATACAGAGCCAAGTCAAAAGCCTGAGGATTTGCTTCCTGTAATCAATGCAAACACTGCGCACACGAGAAACATTCTGAGCAAGCATCCAGACAGGCGACCTGTTTTGCACAAGGGCTTACCATGGCACCAACATGTTCGCCAGGCAAGAAGTGCTAAATTCTAATTTCTACTGAGTCCGGCCCCTGCGCACTGTGACCAAGATTGCACACCACCACACCACTGGCAGCACCTACTCACCTCAAAAGAACCAACAAGTTCATCCTGTGGGTAAAAATGACGAAAAAGGGACGACATCGGGCCATTCACCGCTGAAGACCTGCACCCTGAGAGTTTGCCATTAGCAAGCACCCAGAAAGAAATGAACGTTCTGGAAACAACCCCAGAAACTGCGATCGTAGTTAGTCGAGGCAGGTAGGGCCACGTGTCAATCTTGGTGGGATCCACGACAGTGGACAATACTTTCCCCTCTAGACAGAGAGGATTTCACGGTGCCGGATGACGCGGCGCCAACTCAATCACCTTGCAGAAAAGGCGCCGAAGACGCTGCACAAGGCGGACACTGGCGATTTTCTGCACGAGAAGCATGCGTAGATCCACCTGCTTCAAGTCGTCTCAACTTGCATCTAAGTTTCCGCAGCCAGGCGACACTCTCAGGCCGTGCCCGCCCCGCGCCTCCCAACGCCACAAAACAAGATTGAGCAGTGTGACGGCTTGGGTACAGGTGGCCAAATGTTTTTCTCTAAACGAGCTAAAAGGCAGTGATAAGACCACACGCGCGGATGAACAAACACAGCACCGGGACACAGCGCCCTTCTCCGTCTCGCACAAGTGCAGCTGTTGGCATCTACCACGGACAGTGCCTCTGCTCTCAACCGAGAGGCAGCGCACCCTTTACAAGGCCGGAGGCGCCAGGCCATCGCCAGCAGCACTGCAAAAAACTCGAATAGCAAGAGGGGACTTTCCAGAGGGCCGTCAAGGCAATATCGAGTAATCCAGCGCACCGCGACGAGGCCGCTATAGTTGACTTACCCGGTAATGCCGGCAGCTGCAGTTGCCACCACCTTTGCTGTGGCTCGTGTTGCTCGTCGGCGGCATACGTCAGAGGCGGGTGGGATCTCCAGACGCCCAGAGCAGCCCTTGCTGCCTCCGTTTGCGGCTTGGCAAGCCACAGGGGACCAGCGGGCACCCAACTCTATCCAGCAGTGTGAGGTACCCGCAGATCAGGGTTGCATGTGGCGATTTTCTGAGAACCCCGCTGGAACCACGTACTTTTTTTTTTACGTTAACTTTTTTTTTCTAACCCGGCCCCGTTATTGCAAATATTTCCGTACGGCACCCCCGCGCAATACTGCGCAAAGCACTGCCGCAGCGCCGCGGGCGCCGACGCCGCCTTCGCGAGCAAAGAAGTCGGGCGGCGGGGCATGACTGAGCCCCGCGACGCCGGCGCCGGGGCCCCGGCCCCGAGCCCGAATTTTGCACGCGGCCGCCTGGGCCCGCGTGCGCGGGCGCCTCCGTTCCGCCCCCCCGCCGTCCCCGCGCGCGCCTGGGATCCGCTGGAGCCGCCGACGGGGGCGGACGAGCGTCCGCGCGGGCGGCTGACGCGGACTCCGTGGCGCGCACGGCGGCGCCGGCGGGTTTTGAAAGGACGACGGAGACGGGCGGGGAAGAGAGGGCGCGTGAAGGCCAACACCGGGCTGGCACCGCCGGTGCTGGAGGACGAAGGCGGCGCAGACGAAGGTGAGGATCGCGTCGTGCGGTTGCCAATTGAGATGCCGGCGATGTGCGTATACTCACACAAGGCGACATGTGTCAGTCTCGAGGTGCCGAACAGAGCAAGGCGCGTGGACGATGCCCGCGGTTGTCTTTGAAGTGAGAATATGAGCAGCCGCGCTGTGGAGCAAGGCTTTCGCCGCGGTGTGGGCGACTGCATCCCCGCCCACTCTGCGCGGCAGTGCCACCCGTTGCAGCGAACGCGTTCGTTATTGTCACTGGTTTGCTGGGTGGCACCACTGGCCCCCGTGTGCGCCAGGCTTCGTGGGCGTTGATGGTAGAGCGGTGGTTGACTGTCGTCCACGGGCGGGCTGGTGCGCAGGCCACGAGCGAGGAAGCCGCTGCCCAGCCGCCTTGGAGAGAGCGACCAGGGACGCTGGCAGGCGAACAGGAGGAGCAGCGAAAGGTTGGTGTGGACGGTGGTCGTGCACGGCAGGGACGAAAAAGGGGCGAAGAATCAATCAACCCAGCGGGGGGGGGGAGGATTGTTTGTCGGCACCATCGGATCGTCGGTGTGTCGGTGGGGGGGAATGACGCCCAGCAGCTGGCGGGGCGAGAGGAGGGGGGGATTGCCCATCGATTGCGAATCGCAGCCACAGGCCGCCGAGACGCACGATCAGGGCGGAGAGCTGCACAGGCGGAACGGCCGTCCTGGAGCGCAACCCCATTTCAAGCGCTGCGCGTGGGGGTGGCTGTGATGGGCTGCAGGCGGGCCTGCTGCTCGGGCTTTCACCTATGCAGACATGCCCAAGCACAATCGGGCATGTGGAGGCTCAGTGTGGCTGAGGCGTGGGAGCTAGTGGGCATACTGTAGAGTGCGCCCACAGTGATGCTGCAGCACATCCGGATCAACACGATGTCCATCAGGCGATGGCGCGGGGCACCGACGAACGGGACGACCTTGGCACTTCTCTGGTGCAAGTGCAGCAGCAGCTGAAGGCAGCTGAAGGCCGACCTAAGGGACAGAACCACACACAGCGCAGCAGCCAGTTCCATCCCTGGGTGCACCTGCAGATGGTATGGAGACAAGGGAGGTGGGGATGGGGTGGCTTGGGATGGGGATGTGGCATCAGCCCTCTGATCTTTCTGTCAGTGATTCACAAGCAAAGGTGAAATTAGGTATGTCTGGTATGAGTCTGAAGTGCTCTGCTTAAACTACAAGCAACAGGACAAAACAAGTGCTACTGACCAACGAAATTTGGAACAAGTCGAATATGAAACTGCTGTTGATTGAATGGGGTGCCAAGATAGTGATGAACCAACTGCATGACAAGGAATGATCTTGGCAAATATGGGCAGTGCTGGGAGGTTGGGGGTGGGCCAACACTATGGCAGCATGTGAAGATGTGTCATGCAAGTCAGGATCCCAGTAATTTACTACAGTGTACATTGCAGTATGATGCACAGACGTGTGTGCGTGTTGAAGTTCTTGCAAACAGCTTCCGTGGATGTGTTCACACTGTTGTTAGCATCAGTTATTGCAAGAAAGGTGGCAGGCCGCCTGTAAAATCCTAGAGAGCTTTAGTCAGGATGTTGGGACCGCCGCGATGGAGGGACTCCGAACTGTGTGTGCTGGGCAGTCTACAGCATTACAGAACAGCTGCTACCCAATCCAAGGAAGCAGGATCTTATGCTGTGCCATGCAAGTGCTTGCCTATGTGCTGTCAACACAAGCTTTGAACTGGGCACAGTGTGCTCTGCCTGCATGAAAGATACCAGCAGCATTTTCAGATGTGCTTTGTGGTCTGCTGGGTCAATCATCTGTGCTTTTGACAAACAGATTGTTTGATTAGCACCGGAAAAGCCCACGATTAATCCCAGAAATGCCTATTCGACCTATAATACCCAACTAGCTAAATTCACCCTTGACATGCTGTGGATCTGAATGATGCCATGGAGCTAGTGGGACTGATTGGGATCAAGATGGACCCGTAGGTTCACTTTGTTGGCGAGCTGCCATCTGCACCGTGTCCTGCAGTTGTTTGCACTTTTGACACTGCAGAACTGTTTTCTGTGCCAAAATCACTAAGTCCTGAATCCAGAATGGCTTATAACATACTTCTAGAATATTTTTGAACCTCTGGTCTGTTGCTTACAGCTGCAACAGCTTGAGAAGGTGGTCCAGGACACAAAGGCGGACTTGTCCTCTGCTGTGGCTGAAAAGAATGAGGCAGAGGCGGAGGTCTTCAAGCTGCGGGGACAGCTCGAGTTGGTTGCCAAGCAGGCCAAAGACCTCCTTTTCAGCCAGCACCAGGCTGTTGCAGAAACCAAGAGGCAGAATCTGGTGGGTGAGCTTGCGCTGCCACCCTCAACTACCCTTGGGACTTCCGCTGTCAACTGCAGGCTTGCAAGTCACAAAGAGTATTCCGCTTGAATGGAAGTTCTGCAGAGTTCTTTCACACGACCAGGCGATTTGACAAGTATTCTAAAGTTGAGTACTGGAGAATGTGAGGGAATGCAAAGTGAAGGGTTTGTTGCTAAAAGCTGCAACCTGTCTCAGCCCTGCAAGGCCATGTTAATCTCCTGATGTAGCATTGGATGCTGGCCAGCAGATTATTGGGCTATTCGATTACAGTATGGAAAAAGAGCAATTGGTTGGAGACTTCACAACAGGGAACAAACAAGTTGTTGTTGCTCTTCTTCTGAGCTCTTATGAACAGCCTCTGAAAAAACACAACACGTTAAAGGGCAGCACCCCGCCATGTTGTTGACATTGTAGCCAATGAAGGCTTGCTTCGTAGGGTGTGCACACAATCATCTGTTGCGCTGCTGGTCCCAGCATCTCATTTGCTTGATGATAGCAGGCCCACGTTGTTGAACGCATTCAGAGCAGTCGGTATTTTTGCAATCGAGCGTGGGTGCATGTTACGAATAGGATGTGGGTGTGGGGTTCCTGCCCTCTTTGAGCCGCGGACCCGCCTCGCCGGGCACCTAGGTCCTTACAGGGCACCTAGGCGGGACCACCCCTCCTACTCCCGTATCCTAATATGGATAAAGGTTACATTGGGTGAGGAATAGTACGTGTCTTGGGCAGGGCGTCCCCCACACCAAGGGCCATTAGTAGGACGTCTCCCACATCAGGCTGGTGCGCGTAACATTCGTCCCCCTTAGGGAGAGGGGCGTCCTCGTCCCAGTATAAGTGAATACGGGAGCAGAAACATTGTATGTATGTTGGTGGAACTGGCTGTGCGATTTGCCACATGCCCAGTTAACAAAACACAACACACAAAACAGTTTTGGATGAAGAGAAAGAGCGGTTGTTTTACATGACCGTCCCGGCCTTCACAACCCTCATTAAAACTCTTCCTCAGCCAAGTGGCTGGAAATGCCAATTCCTGCCTTCATACCGGCGACCACGGCGTCGGCACCACCCAAAGCCCATGCCGGTCCTGTAGATCGGTTCGTAGCGTACACCGTTGTTCATCATCGTCCGCTGCAGCCAGTGCATGGAAATGGCACGAAAAGTCGGGCGGCAGTTCAACCTCCCGTTGAGGATCGCAACGGACATGGCGTTCATGTGTCCA